TTGAGGCCAGTCTGGGCTACATTTCTGAGACTTTGTCTCAGAAAACTAGAAAGAATCAACCAAAGAATCAAAAGAACCCAGGTCTCCTGAGTCATGGCTCAGGTCTTCTTGTATATCAGAGGTGAAGACTTAGTATACTTAATTATCCAAACCAGAATATTGAGAAGGAAATGCAGTGCCCTGAGTGTAGACTAGAAATTATAAACAGGCCAGAAACTACATTTTGCTTCCAAAAGTGACTTGACTATTCATATTCTTTAAATTTTTCAGTAACCCACATTTAACACTGTGGAAACTTTGCATTAAAATGTGTATTTCTGACTTTACTTGGAAAATGAAAAAATACAGACACATGGGGCATATATGCCTACCTAGTAACAAATGGCTAGATCCACTTGGCAAGCTTGTACATCTTGTTTGCCGCAAGCCCTATCCCTCCCATTTGTGTGTTTTACTCTAGTCCGAGCATGGGTTTCCACTCACACTGTTTTGGTTTTCTTTGCTTTGCTTTGCTTGTTTTGTTTGTTTGTTCGTTTAGTTTTGTTTTGTTTTTCGAGACAGGGTTTCTCTGTGTAGCTTTGGAGCCTGTCCTGGAACTCACTCTGTAGACCAGGCTGGCCCTGAACTCACAGAGATCCACCTGCCTCTGCCTCCCGAGTGCTGGGATTAAAAGCGTGCACCACCACCGCCCGGCTGTTTTCTTTATTTTTATAGTAGTTGAACAAAAGCTGCGATGTCCATCTTTTCTAGCAGTGGGTGGTAGCCTGAGAAAATTCTAAAGGCTAACACAGTTTGAGGCCTGGGAAAGTGTAAGAGAAAGTTGCAAATACATAACTCAGAGACATCTTGAGATCAGGCTTCATATGGGGGGGTGCAAACCTAAATGCCAAGAGAGCCAGAGAACCTATTACATATGAGCAAAATCCATCTAGGGCAAGACATGGAGCTGCTATGATGCTTTTATCATTTTCCTACCTTGACTCATGACCAGTATAATAAATAGTTTCATGCTGGGTGTGGTAATACACACCTCTCATCTCAACACTTGGGGTCAGAGGTAGGCAAACCTTCCCATTCAAGGCAGGCCTGGTCTAAATAGTGAATTCCAGGGCAACTAGATACATAGTTAGACCCTGTCTCAAAAACAGTTTCCTTTTTGTTCAACTACTATAAAAATAAAGAAAACAGCCGGGCGGTGGTGGCGCACGCTTTTAATCCCAGCACTCGGGAGGCAGAGGCAGGCGGATTTCAGTGAGTTCAAGGCCAACCTGGTCTACAGAGTGAGTTCCAGGAAAGGCGCAAAGCTACACAGGGAAACGCTGTCTCAAAAAAAAAGAAAAAGAAAAGCTGGACATCAGGAGAAAAACAATGGGCATTATTTATGCTTACATGTTTATTGTTACCCAAATTCAACGTTGCTCATCATCAACTTTTGGTGGAAATTATTTCTGTGGTTTTACTTATTTGTCTCCAAATGTAATGACAGAGTAATTCAGGCGTAATAGAGTCCAGCATCCACCTTTCCTCTCTGTGGTCTTCTGTTGCTAAATCACGACACAAAGTCTTATCCTTTCATGTATTCATTTATTCCCCAAGCACTGGTATGTTTACAGATGGAGGGATCCTTGCTTTAATAGTGGAGTCCTCTGTGGACTGTCCTCAGCAGAGGGCCACATGTATGGACAGGGGCTATGTATGGAGTCCTGTCTAGGATAAGGCTTTAGGCTTGACTCCCAGATGGTCAGGGAATACTGGAGTTTCTTAGCTCTAAAGGGTATGACCACAGTTAGCAGTGACCAAGAAGCAGCCCTACAATCAAAAGCATCAGTGAAGAGGCTGAGGCAGTGACCTGAATAAAGAGATGAGACAAAGGTTAAGACAGTGCAGGAGAAAGGAGACACATCTTGAAGTTAGCTTTGGCAACCCATAAGACATAAAGGGGCATGAACCAAGATGTGAAGAATCAGGCACGGTCCAAGGATTGTGAGTTCGTTTCAAACACCAAAAAATGACCCAAAATATAAGAAAAAACTGTTGAATTTGGCCTCATCAAAATTAACTTTAGCTTTGCAAAAGAGTTGTTAGTAGAACGAAGAGATAACAAATGTACCAAGATAAGACATTTGCAAATCATATACCCAACAACAGATTTGTATCTAAAATATACAAAGAGCTCTCCAAACTCAACAGTAGAAAAATCACAAATTAAAGAATGGACATAAGACATAAAAGGGGATATACAAATAGCCAATTAGCACATAAAAGACGTTTAAGATCATTAGCTATCAGGAGACATCAAAGGGAGATCACAATGAGATACCACTATATACCCAATCGAATAGGCAAAACAAGCAGCTCTGCATGCCGCCAAGGGTGTGGGGAACCCAGCTCCCTACCAGATTCCTGGTAAGAGCATAAATGGCACAGTGACTCTGAAAAACACTTCGGCAGTTTCTTATAAAACTAAACATATTAGGGAGGCAGAGGCAGATAGATCTCTGAGTTCAAGGCTAGCCTGGGCCTTGAACTACAGGCTGAGTTCCAAGACAGCTAGGGCTACACAAAGAAACCTTGTCTCAAAAATAAAAGACAATTAAATGTACACTATGTTCACACAAAACCCTGTATGTGAATGTTTATAGAAGCTTTATTCATAACAGCCAAAAAGCTCAGGTGTCCTTCAGTGGATTGGTGGTTAAAGAGACTATTACACATGCACAAGTATTTCATGAACACAACTTTGATTTTTTTTTACACTTATTAATTATACAAAGCAATGTGTTTTGCCGGGCAGTGGTGGCGCACTCGGGAGGCAGAGCCAGGTGGAACTCTGTGAGTTCGAGGTCAGCCTGGGCTACAGAGTGAGATCCAGGAAAGGCGCAAAGCTACACAGAAACACTGTCTCAAAAAACAAACAAACAAACAATGTGTTTCACTGGCATTTTCATACATATGTATCATATATATTGATCATATTCAGCCTTATCAACTTCTCTATCAACCCTTTGGATAGATCTTAAGGGCAGTACAGTGAGTGAAAATACCAGTCACAAAAGTTTATGTACTATAGTAGTCCATTTATATAACATTCTGGAAATGAAACTATTTCAGAGATGGAAAAACGTGAACGGTTGTAAGGCCTTAGAGAAGGTAAAGTGGGAAGGATGGAAATTTTAAGAATGTAGATTTTAAATGGGTAGCAAGAGGAAAGAGTTATATTGTGATGCAATAGTTCTGAATCATGTTTAGAATAAAGATTACATGACTCTACACTTGTGATAAAATTGTATAGAACTGTATACTTATTAGCACACAAGTACATGTCAGACTCATGAAATACGAATATTATCTATGAATTATGTGAACGTCAACGTCCTAGTTTTGATATGAACAACAACCATGTAAGATGCTAACTGAAAAAACCTGGTGAAGGCTACATGCTCCCCCCATACTGTAGCTTTTGTTGTTGCTGTTATTTGCAACTTCCTATGGATCTGTACTGCTTGATTCTATTTATATGGCATTCCTTCTTTTGTTTTTTGTTTGTTTGTTTGTTTTCTTTTTCGAGACAGGATTTCTCTGTGTAACAGCTCTGCATGTCCTGGAACTCACTCTGTAGCCCAGGCTAGCCTCAAACTCACAGAGAGATCCACCTGCCTCTGCCTCCGGAGTGCTGGGATTAAAGGCGTGCACCGCCATCACTCGGCTCTTATATGGCATTCTTGAAAAGACAACACTATATTGACAGAACCCATCAGCAGCTGCCAGGTAGGCAGGAGGATCTGACTGCAAAAGGATGGCACGGAAGGCTTTGGGGGCTAGGAAACATCTGTGTCATTAACATGTATATGTGTTCAGAATCAGCTCTGTGCATTGAAGAAAGTCAATTTTACTACAGATTAATTTTTAAATTACTGAAGTAGAACTCAATCATAGAACACTATCCTAGCATGCACAGGGATCAGGATTTGATCCCCAGCACCAAACACTAAGTAAGATTTTCTTTAAAGTAGAAAAGCAACTGGTGTTTTTTTTTTGTGTGTGTGTGTGATTACGTCCTTCTCTCCTTCCTCTTCCACTCATCCATCATTCTCCATCTACTGTGTACCTGCTGGTGTGAGGCACACTGTGCTAGATTTTGGAACTCAAAGTAGAACAGTATTCTTCCTGTTTCTAAGGACAAGCATGCAGTAGAATTTGGACTCTGGTGTTTCTACTCAAGGAAATGGAACAAGGAGAAGACTGACCAAGGACGAAGTGAAGAAACTTTTTTTGAGACAGAGTTTCTCTGTGTAGCTTTGGAGCCTTTCCTGGAACTCACTCTGTAGCCCAGGTTGGCCTTGAACTCACAGAGATCCACCTGCCTCTGCCTCCCGAGTGCTGGGATTAAAGGTGTGCGCCACCACCCCCAGCTGAAACTGATCACTTTTAGAGTCTGGTCCTGTGTAGTGCTTTTCCAAGAGAACTCTTGGGCCTGAGGGAAAGGGAAGGCCCATTACTCCATACTGCATAGGTACCCACGTGAAAAAAAATGCCAGAAGGGTTGTGCCCTGTTAAGTACAGAAAGGTTGGGGTAGAAGAAGATTTGATGCAGTTAACTGTTAACTCTGAAAAGTGTTACCTGGACGTGCACATGAGAGTGTATGTATGTGTGTAAAAACAACCATTTGTTTTGTTCATAAATCTGGACTGGTGATGGAGCTGGGATCAGCTACGTGGTGGTTCTGGTTTGGCCTGGACCCACCCCATATCAGCAGTCAGCTGGTGGTCAAAAACCCTGCTGATTTGTATACTGCTTTCTAGGATGACAGGGGTATCTACGCCCTTTGTCCCTCATCATTTAAGGTTTATTCACATAAAAAGGGTCACCGCATTCCCATTCTCAGCAAGAGAACTGGCCCCAAAATATAACTACTTATTTTCTTCTTCACAGCTCTATTGAGGTATGTCATTCATATATGTTACCTGAATCTGAATTCTGTTTTCTCTCCTGTTTGCAGGGAATCTGAAGCATGTGGTCTAGTTGACAAAAAGAGATCAGGTTTCCAGAGCTGGGAAGCAGTGCCTATAATGAAGACAGTGTGTTGATGCAAGCAGTTTGTGGAATTTGTGACTGCAGGGGAAATTTGGAAGAAATTACTTCCTGAAAATTTCCAAGGGGCACCAAGTGGCAGCTGGCCTCCTGGGGTGAGGAGGCAGACACCCCAGAGCCAGGCCTAGGGGGAAGAGGAAGATATCCAACATTTAAAGTGTTTATTTTAAAGCATACACACAAATGCAGTTTTTAATCTTTCAAAATTATTTTTAAGCAAGTTGGGGAGGGGAGTATTTTTATCTTCTTAAAGGGGACAAGTTAGAAGTTGCAAGAAAGTGGGATTGGGTGGTGGGCAGCAGACAGGCAAGTTTGGACCCCAGGGCCATCTAGGTAGAGTTCGGTGGGGGAGGGCTATCAGCAGACTGGGAGGGGAAGAGGAGTCTACCACTTTTGTTTTAGTATTATGCACTCAAGTTGTTTCTAATAAAATCTTCAAAAACCCAGCTCTGTCCCATTGTTCTCACTGCCACTGAGAGCACACATAGTTCTGAACTTTCCCTGTCACCTTTTACTTCCACATTCTGCCCTGGCCAGCCTAGGACCCTCACCGTAAAATCTGGACCCTCATCGGGAACTCATGTGTCCTCTGCCCAGATGACCAGCTCTGGCCTATGCTGAGGCCTGTCCATAAAAAAGAAGGTGCAGGGTTATAAGCTCTGTGTCTATGAAAAGGGGCTTGTTGCACTCTGAGGAGGAACTTGCCCTGCCAAGGATTCAGGGATAAGAACTCGAGGTCTCAGGGGCCATTTCCATGGGTAGACAGGACACTTCCAACTCAAGTGCAGACTGTTGATACACGTGACCAGTGGCTGGTGTCACCTGGAAACATGGTACAATAGTGACGACAAGACGACCATTCAGCATGATTTTATAACCAAATGTTTAGTAAGTTCTTTCAGCCCCTGTGACAAGTCTAAGAGACACAAGCACAGCCCAGTCCTGGCCTCGGGCAAGGGGAAGAGAAAGCCAATGCACGCACAAAGCTGGGGCTCACTAAACTGAGAGCAACTGGCACCGCCCAGCAGGCCCCCCAGCAGCATGTCTGAAGGCATATTTAACTTGAATTTTCCCAAGCAAGCAAGAGCATTCCACAGAAGGGAGTGAGAAAGCCTCGAGTGTGTCCCGAGCTGGGAATAGCCATGCTCTTATTAAACAGTGAGGGGGTCTGGTGGACTAGTCACTTCAAATGTCCGCTGTTCTAATTATCCACTCCGGGCTTAAGGCAGTTTGGCTTACACTGAAAAGAACGGGGATTTCAAAGAGTTGAAGAGTGGGGAGGCACTGAATGGGCAGGTGCCAAGGTTTGCCCTCTCCAAGGTTTGTTTATCCCCCTTTCAGCTTCCCATTCCAGTCCTTTCAAGAGGACCTACCTCCAATGTCCCCGAGAAGGCCTTAGTCCTGAGAGGCAACCACCTGGTAAAAGCAATGGCTACCTAGTACCCTGTGGCCTTTGCAGTGGGAATGGACCTGGTCAAGGATATGCCTCCAATACGGAGAGAATAGGAAAAGGTTCTGGGGGTACCAGAGGAGCCTTTTGCCATGGGACCCCTTCTGGCTAGGCACTGCCAGTTCAGCCTCAGTTCTGGCCAAACAGGATCCAAAATACCTATTGAGCTGATGACCACCTGCCAGGCCTCAGAAGACTCTAGTGCAGGGGCCTCCGGGCTGCCATGCATTGCATTCCTAGAGGATCTGCTGGCCTGGAGTGCAGTTCAGGGGCAGGGCATTTGCCCAGCATGTACAGGGCCCTGGGTTCTGTCCCTTAGCATGTCAAAAAGAGGAGAGGAGAGGCAAGAGAGGACAAAGGAGAAGAAAGGAGAGAAAGAAAAGACAGGAAAGCATTAGGTAAAAAAGAACAACAGGTAAAACCAGGAATCACTTAAAATTTACAAAATAAAGTTGAAATACCCAAAGGTAGAACCACCATCCACAAAACCAACACAGCAGGTTAAGATCTGCTCTGTTCCAAATTATAAAGGCATGAAGGCAGTAATGGCTATGAGGGAAAGCACCAAAACATAAAGTGAGATGGGCTTTTGTGGACTAGGAAATAAGAAGATGATTTGTTTTGCTTTTGAGCTTTTTCCCCCTATTTTTTTCAGATTTCCTCTAGTGAGTTACATTTTATTTTACGACAGAAGAACAGGCTTGGGTATAACTCAGTGGTAGAATACCTGCCTACTATCCATGAGGCCCTGGGTCCCACCCTAGTCCCACAAATAAAGTAATAAGCTAAAAATGAATTGCTTGTTTGAGCAGCACTAATTAAACTGTCAGTCACCAAAAAAAAAAAAAGTAAGAGGAGACTTGTTAGAAGGGGTTCAGTTGGAGGAATGGGGAATAAGAGGGTGATGGGGTGAATGTGATCAAAATACATTATGTACACATATGAAATTGTCAGAATAAATTTTTGTAAATGGTCTTTATCTCATCCTCTCAGAGAAAGATCAAAGTCAGTTGGAACCTACCACTGTACAGATTTGTGCTCAGCCTCAGGGCTGTTCTTACTGCCCAGGAGGCTCTGAGTACAGCCCCAGGAGAAGTGGGCTCCAGGGTAAGGCAAGTGTATACTGGTGTGAGCTTGCCCTCTCGTCAGCCGAAGACTGCTGTCCACCTGTCTACTGCAACACTAAATTCAAACCCAGTGACTCTAGTTAGAACCAGGAGGCGAACATTAGAATGCACCCCTTCTTCTAGGTCATTTCTACTTGAAGTAGGTCCTCTTTCCTGATGGATAGGTACTATCATACCCACTTTAGAGATGAGGAAACTGAGGCTACAAACCCATGAGGCTTGCCCAATAGTGAGTGGGAGAGAACCACCCTAGCCAGAACTGCAAGCTCCCTTACTTTTTCCACGGCCCCACACTAGTGCCACTAGAATATTTTTTAAACCGTGACTTTGAAGTAAACAACTTTCTGATTGCTTACAAAGTCCATACTGGATCAAGGCACACACTACTCCTGGGCCCTCACCCTACAACAAATACGTGAACTAGTCCTGCTTTTTTAGCAAGGTGCTCGGCCTTGCGGGCTCCGTTTCCTCACATGGAAAGTAGAGCAAATGCATTCTGTACTTCACGGGCTCTTGTGAGGGGCTACTGACTTTTCAAAGATAGGAGCATCTGAAAAGAGCCTCAAAAACTGAGTGGTGGCACGTGCCTATAATCCAGTACTTGAGAGGTAGAGGCAGTGGTTCAAGGCCAGCCTGGGCTATCTGAGAGCCTGCATGAAAAAGCCCAAATATTGTGCATATGAGGGCTTCCACTGGCCTCCCAAGAACATGCCAGGGCCGGAGAGACTATAAGAAAACTTTAGGGTGTGTCTACAACTTGAGGGTTAAGAAAAATAGCCATCTTAAAAAGAATATATGTGTGTAAAGCCCTGGAGTCAATTCCCACCACTGAAGAAAAAGAACATATATATGTATGTATGTATGTATGTATGTATGTATGTATGTATATATATATATATTGGATATGCATGTATTTGCATAAAACATCTTTAAAAAAACACACAAGAAACTGGGACACTTCAGTTGCCTCCCGGCAGTGCAAGCAGGTGGCAAGTGGCTGGGGAAGAGTGAGGTAGACTTGCACTGTTTCTTTTTGTACCTTCTGATTTTTTAACCATGTGAATGTATTACCTGGTCCCTGAAAAAGTAAATAAATAAAATTTACAAATAAGAAAAAAGCCAACGGAAAATTCCCAAGCCCGCTTACCTTTGGGGAGAGTGACTGTACCTCTGCTACATTCATTGTGAGCTGTCACAGAGAGAGCAGTATATTTCCAATTCTGTATTTAAAGGACTTTTTCTCGGACAGAAAGGCTTCTTTATTAGAAAATCAAATATTGTCAATCAACAGACAAGGGACGACAGAAAAAGAGGAAGGTGAGGAGAAAGAAGGAAAAGGAAAGGAAGCAGCTAGCCAGCTGAACCCCTTCCCAGAGGGTTCCTGCAGCCATTCGGCTGCTGTATTTGCCAGGGCCAGGTCCTATACCCCATGCTCAGTGCCGAGCCCACAGCTGCCCAGGAGAGCCTTGGCAAGCAGCACACCTCACACTGCCTAAATGTGAGCATCTCTCTGACACTCATTAGCTCTGGGACCTTGTCCAAGTAAGCCACTCTCTGAGCCTTAGTTGTATTATCTATCTCCAGGGAGGGAACTGCCTGTGAGGGACACACACACTAATAATAACAATAACAAACTCAAGTACGTGCCTATAGCCCCACTTACCGAAGAGGCTGAGGCAGGAGAATCATCCTTGGGGATAGAGCGAGTTTAAGGCCAGTCTGAGCTAGAGACTATCTCAAAAAGAAAAAAAAGGCAAGAAAAAATGAGAATGGGGAAGAAGAAAAGAAAGAGAAGGGAGACAGGAGAGAGGAAAGTAAGAAAGGAAGGGGAAAACTGTCAACAATCTGCAAAGCACAATAACAACATGTTGGTTTAGGGTTTTTTTTTTAAGTCTCATCTGCTACAGATACAAGGAAAAGTGTTCGCATGTGAAATAATGTATCTTGGGATCAGTTTTAAATACTCTGGAGGAGAAAATGTATGCCGAGGGAGATGAAACAAAATATGAAGAATGCTGATCACTGCTGAACTATGTTGCATTATACTACACTCTCCACTTTTTAAAAAAATTCTAATAACAAAAATAACCTAAGATGTGAGGCCAGAGAGACAGCATACAAGTGCTGGGCATGGTGGTACATGTCTGTAATGCCAACACTGGAAGGCAAAGGCAGGGGGAGCCTGGAGACTCACTCACTGGCCAGCAAGCATAATCAAAATGAGAAGTTTCTGCCTCAGCAGAAGACCCTGTCTTGCTGGGCTGAGGTGGCACATGCCTTTAATCCCAGAACTCGGGAAGCAGAAGCAGGTGAATCTCTGCGTTCGAGGCCAGCCTGGGCTACAGAGCGAGTTCCAGGACAGCCAGGAATGTTATACAGAGAGACCCTGTCCCAAAAAAAATAAACAAAAAACAAAACAACAACAACCAAAAGACCCTGTCTCAAAAAAAAAAAATTGGCGAAGTAGTAAAGACATGGCACCCACAGCCACACACAGACATGCATACACACAGAAAAACACACATACACACCAAAAGAAACATCTAACACCACATCTGTTACTGTACTTAGTAGATCAGTGATCATTTTCCATACAGCCCCCTCAAAGAGTTTTCTGCCAAAGTAGGTTGTCTTTCCAGAGAGCCAATGCAATCCTAAGCGAAAAGAATAAGGCTAGAGGTATCCCCACACCTACGTTCAAGGTATACTGCACAAAGAGCAGAGTACTGGCCAAAAGACAGGTATGTAGACCGTGGAAGAGGAGACTCACTCATATAGCTACAGTCACCTGAGTGTTTACAAAGATAAACAGTTTGATTTTGCCAAAAACAGCCGTATCTTAGTTACTGTTGCTGTGACAAGACAGCCT